ATATATATATATATATATATATATAATTTTTTGGGATTGGGAGGATTAATCGTGATACGTAGACGGCCTTCTATCGGAGAGGGGGGGAGGCTTCGATCTCGTGATGGGCGAACAGATCAAGAATACGCCCTTTGATACGTTATCATTTTAACGCGTCCTCAGAACGACGCGATTATGAGAGGGGATTGCATTAACTTTTCGCGTCAGAATACGTCTATATATATATTTATAAAAGAGAATCGTTCGAAGATGGAACCCTAGAACTCGTGAGAAGTTATCTGGGAAATAATGTTGCCTTTTACAGAATTGCGCAAAGGAAAGTAATCCGTGTCATATGCTATGTGTGTTGCGTGTGCATAATTTTTTTTTTTCGCGCGATAACGTTAATTCATCGCAAATGGAAACCAGCAAGGGAACGACCGGTCGTTTAAACGTAACAGATTACTCACACCGACCGATGTGGCGCCGTTGTCCGTCCACCGCTGACAGCTCCATTCTTCTCCATTTTATCCGCAATCGCATTGAACGTCATGAGATTAATTAATCCAGAAACGATTCCATCGAAGATCGTTCGTCCCACGCGCGACGGATCCGATAACGCAATCCCAATGCGCGAATAAAAATAACACAATGATAAGAGATCGCTCGCGTCGTTTTGTGAGGCGCTCCTGGTACTATCGCGAAATACACGTCAAAATCACAGTTGCTACCTCTTTGGTTTCCAATTGCAGACTCCAACTTTTTGGATGAATCTCCGGCGAATAGAAAGAATCTCTAGCTAACTATTTTAAATTTTAATGACTTTTTTTAAAGAGAGAGAAAGAGAAATATACGCATATATATGTATACATATGTATGCGTATACATTTTGTTTCTCTCAATTTTCAAAATCAAAAAGATGGAAAAAGTTTATTTTTTCATGATCTTTTTTTAGAAAGAACATTATGATAATATAATGTTGATAATAATTTAACATTTACTGAATATATTAATAAACGAGCAGATCTCTAGTAAATCAATATTCTAAAGATGGCAACTGTAATCGTATTGATATAATCATTAAGGGAACATATTAATATAATCGTTAATATACTAATAAAAATATATAAATAAATTTCGATTGTTCAGATATAATCGCGTAATAATATAATCGCGAATTATAGTTTAATCGAAAATATTTTCACATGTCCATGTTTACCAACTAGAAACTAACTTTAATCTCGATTTCATTTATTCTTTATCTTTTCCTAATTCTTTAAACTGAAAAAAGATAAAAAATAAAACCGAGATTAAAATTAATCTTTACATTGGTAGAAATCGACATAATTCTAAATCGAACGTTATCAATATTTAATCCGTGAGAATTCTTTCTTCGAGATAATACGTTCGATTTTTCGTTGTTGCGTTAAATCACACGACACTGTGTCGGTAGTTTTTTTTTAGATTATTTATTTATTTATTTTTATTTCTCGAATATAGACCATATTCCGACATACACTATCAGTACTGAAAATTTATAATTCACGTTACATATACTATAGATTTTCACTGTGTATATGGCTACGTTCCAATTTACGCTCAGTTTATATCCGTTTCTATTGATGTAGAATAAGAACTCTAATCTCGGTTTAAATCTAAATTCTTACCTTTTTCTAATTTTTCGAATTTTCTAATTTTTCAAAAAAGAAGATAAGCAAGATAAACGGAGATAAAATTAATCTACATTGATGAAATGAGTATTAGTGAGCATTATTTGTCGTTGTTTAACATTTGACATTTGAAACGAAAAGGATGAAATGATTTCATAAATGCTGTAAACATCAGCATACTACTAGACAGAATATCGAATTAAAACTGTCTTGCCAGATGTAGGAAAGAACAAAACGATACGTGAATAGGAGCAACTCGTCGTAGCCCACGGCTATGAGATATATATCGGCTTTTAACTTACTTATTTTGCGTAATAAATAAGTAGAAACCATAATTATTTATTACACATGTAATAATTTCAACATTTTACGATACTTATATATTACAGCGTTACACACTTAAAAATTGCATCACATTAAGAATTGCATCACATTAAAAATTATCTCACATTAAGTTTCCAATTTGTACAAATAAGGAATTGTTCTCTTTTTCGTTAAAATTTAATGAATAAGAAAATAGCAGGAAAGACATCCGTGTCCACACATTTATGTCTCTTTTTTCAGATTTATCAAGATAAAAGATCAAAGAAATTTTATTAAATGCTCCGTTTCATCTATATATATAGGGCGACATTTATAATCAATTTTTATTTAAGATCGTTATAAAATTACATTTCAACCAATAAAGTAACCATATAAATTTACTCAAGATGATCTTAAATATAAGAATAGACTATGAATATTGATTATAGTACTGGATGAAGCAAAATTTCTTTGATCTTTCATCTTGACAGAGCTAGAAAGAGAAAAATAAATGTACGAGCACGGATCTCTCTTTCTATTATTTTCTTATTCGTTGAATTTTGTCCAACGAGAAGAGGCAGAAGTAGCATATTTTGTACAAATAGCATATATTGTACAAAAACATTGGAAACATTAGGCTTGCTCTTTTTGACTGAACTGATTGTACTAGTTCATACTTTATCTTTCTTTCTTATATTGGAAGAAGAACTCTGAACTAGTGTAGAACTAGTTTAGCTAAAAAGAAACAGATCCATTCTTGATACAATGTAATTTTTAAATGTCGTAAAGTTAAAATTATCATATATATAATATTAATAAATATTATATTAATTAATATAATATATATATAATATAATATATATAATATAATATAATATAATATAATATAATATAATAAAGTATAATATATAATATAATATAATTATAATAATTAATATAATATAATATTAATAAATAATTACAGTTTCTACTTGTTTATTACGCAAGACAAGTAAGTTGATGAATGCGGATATATTATCAGGTGACATCGTGACACGAATCGCTCCTACCTATATATTGTTTTGGTCTTTCTTACATTCTCAAAACAGTTTTGATTCGACGCTTCAATATTATGTATCGGTAGCTGTAAGCGTAAACGGAACACAGTCTGCATACATATATCGGAACGCGGCCGTAGTGTAGCGCAAGTTTTGTTTTGATTCCGGTCGGCCGGCTGGCTAGCGCGCCGTGTTTACATCGACTCGCGCCTAACTTCACTCTGTGAGAAGATCGCCGCGTGGGACGAGATAGAGAGCCGTGCGCCGCGATACAGTCCAAGAGAGCGATCTCCGTTGATTACGCCACGTACTTTCCGATCAAGGGTAAGTCATCTCGTGCTCTTTTTTTTTCGATCAGCTGATCGATGCTTGCTCGATCAGCTGACGTCGCCTACGATATTAAACGATGCTCGATCCCGATTCTCGTTAGCGTCGACGAACGTAGCGCGTGATCAGTGTGAAGTTGCTGTCGCGCTTGACCTTTCTAACAGGTTACCTCGGACAGGTTTAAACAATCTCCCATTTCCCGTTATTTGTCCAGAATGCATCGGACGCGTGTTGTAAACGTGTAAAGTGAGAGCCGGAGTGTCGAATCGAACGACGGAGTGATAATTAGTCGGTGCAGCGGTGATTAATATCGTTTATCCTCGATATTCGCAATGGCGCTTAGCGGCGCTCCAAGTGCCGTTATCGCGCTAATTGACGGATGATCGACGACTGTGATTAGTCCCTAATATATCCCGGCGTACTCGGCGGGAGAATGGAGGGGCGGAGGGACAAGAAAACGGCGGGGTCGACGAAAAGACGGAGGAATCATCTGGCCGGTGAGTGATTGATCTTGTAATTATTACATTCGATTGTCGAGTTACGTACTTTTATCTTCGACGATTGTCGACTACGTTATGGCGATATCGCGTTTCGGCACGTGTCTTACCGTTTCACTTACAAAATAACGAAAAATACATGTCTTCTTTTTTTTTCTATCTATCAATTGGCTGGCAGTGCAATTTAAACGTGACGTCACTGTATTTTCCGAAGCGAACATTTTGTGTGTTTTTCATTTTGACGATATCGAATAACGCTCGTTACTTGACGGAGACGTAAAAGGTTCTAGGGTTTAACGAAAGATAAACGCGATTTGTAAACGGCTTTACGCTTCGAGACTGATAAGAGCAATTGAGGCGGTTTAATCGAAGTGGCATCGATGATTCTCTTCCAACGCGACAAGTTAATCGATCAGGGAAACGAGGAAAGGGTAGAGCTCTTGGTGACGTATCTCGAGTAATTCGCTCTCTCACCCTTTTCTTTCTCTCGCGCAAATTCGACGACGCAATTTACACGTTTTATCACTATTGTCGCTATCGCTCTCGCGTCTCTTAGGCTTCGTCGTGTGAATACTGCGCCACGCGTGCGTAATTATAATTTCGGAGAGAGAAAACAGTGAAAATATGACGATCGTGAGTCCTTAACGCTTCTACGATCTACGACCGCGCGACACACCGCGCGACGAAAATCCGAAAGGGTCTTCTACCCTTTTGAGATGACTAGCAAGAAAAAGATACTAGCAAAAATAAAAGTAAAAATAAGAGGGCTAATGAGAGTATAAGCTCGGTATTCGTATTGCGCAATACTTTTTGTGTTCAAGAATAATAATAATTTGTTTGATTATTTAGATGCGTTTTCGGCTCCATTTTGAACCGTCTTCAGCATAAAACAGTATAGAAATTTTCAAAGCTCCCCTAGAAGCAACGTCGAGCATCTCCTCGTTGTCAATCCTGTATCGCTGACACGTGGTTGGAAGGTCAAGTGGCCAACGAAAAGAGACACAACTCTCTGTCACAATTCTACGGAGAGAAATGTTCCGATAAAAAAAAAAATATTAGACTGGGAGATATCTGAGAGATCTGAGAGCGTGTTGGCCGAATTCTTGGATCGTCTCGTCGATCGGTGTGTCCATACATCTCAGGTCCTGACGGAATTCTCTCAGCATTGCGAGAAGCGCAGATCGTTCATCTGCTCCGTAGATCCGAAACCCGTGTGAATTTTCCCTTGAAATCGAATCTCTCGACCGCAGGCGTCTCGAACTCCGGGATACCCTCAGGACCTCAGATCCAGCACGTCAGATCGATACGCAAAATTTTTCACTCGCTCACTCATGGGATGACATTCGCATCCTTAGGCTGCGTGTGAAAATACGCACTTTGAACGATCGCTTCGTCGTACGCGTGTAACATTGCACAATTTGACAATCGCAAAAATCATATTACCTCGCTCGACCGATCGCAGATTTCACGGCAACGCGTGAACAACTAAGTTCTTAATTCAGCGTAGAAGCGACAAGTGCGCTGATTTTTTTTTTTTTAATTGGTGCACGTTGTTGCCTAAGTCGCGTTAATTCTCGGATAGAACCGACGGACGCGTCTAGATTTTTTTTCTAATGATAAAAATATCTCGTTATTTTACCAACCCAAGGAAAGTCGCGGCCCATTCGAGAGTGTAATCTGCAATCTGCATTCTCCTTTTTTCCTTTAATCTTTTCACGATGATTAACGATTATTACTTATTAATTTTTCGAGATTGCGAATCGAAATAATGTTCTCGCACTTTCCGTAATAAACGCGATTATTGTGCGTTTACCACAAAAGCGTCGCCTCTTACACTCGCGTTTTATATCTAGATAAAAATATAATCGCAATTTATAGGTGAATGCGACAAATGTACATAAATACTATTTCAACAATATTTACAATTCTGCTCAAGTCGCGAAAACATACTATAAAACGAAACACTTTAGAAACGCTGTATAAAATAATGTTACAATGTATAAGGGTGGCACCGGAACTCGCAGACTTTTCGAAAGTGCAACTTGCAAAACACTTGAATAATTTATGCAAGTTAATTTCTTCATTGCGCAATAATATCTTTAGCAATTATTAATACTATTTTAGAAAGATATTCTGGACTTTATTCATATCTATCGTTTCGCCTACGTACGCTAATTATGCGAGCTAATCACATTTCTGTTCCGTACGTCATATCGTACAAGTGTCATCTCCTCCGGATTGATCGGTGCTCGAAATAATTGCATCCTCCTCGCCGAGGAGTCGGATCGCAACGCCGGAATAGCAAAGAGATATTATCAATGTGTCTTTAAGATGTGTTTTACATTTTATATTTAACGACAAAAACTTTCCGAGCTGCACTTGCACTCCTGATAAATGGCATGCTAAAAATGTAAGTCGATGTACACCAAACGTCGTGGTTTATCAAGTTATACAAAATGCGATGTGAGGGATGCGCTCAAGATTGCTCGACGGTCCATTGGCTCTGTGCTGAATGCTGCCGAACGCTTTTATATAGATGCGATTAATAGAGCCAAGATCGTCACTCGATCATGACTCGCAACTTAACCACATTGACATTGACATATAATATAAACCATAATCGCAAATTAAAAAAAAAAAATTTCAAGAATTGTTGCTCGGTACAGTAAGGCATTACGATTCTAAGGCTCACCGGAAGTTCAACGTTTCAGATATCTACGGTGATCGTTCGTTGCGATTTGGTAAGTGAATATATAGTTGAAAATGCGATCTATCTCACTCTGCGAAGCGTTTCAAGAGAATTTTTCGGCAATTTTCCCGGCGACAGAGCCCGGAGGATAGCTCGCAAAGCTTGCACGCATTTTTATGTTATGCGACGCGATGAGAGAGGTCTTTGGCTTGCGCGATGAATATATAATATATTTTCCAAGACTCGAAAGAGAGCGAATATATATATATATATATATATATATTATATATTATATATAATATTATATATATATATATATATATATACGACGATAGATATACGTAATTATTACACAGATAGTCGTTCTCGTTAGGCGTAGTACTCCTTTCTTTTTTCTTCTTTTTTTTTTTTTTTTGATTTGTTCCATGGCTCCTCCGCTGCTTAGAATTCACGTTTTCTCCAGCATCCGAGTTCTCTCGTCTTCCCGTGTCTTCCCAAAGATTTGACTACAGCGCACATTTTTTTTTTTCTCCCTCGGATCGATACAATAAAATTATCGCGGGCGAATCGAAAAGCAATTCGTTGCCGCTGTGACGCGAACAAAATCGTGTATGTACGGTAGTAAGTATATTATATTAATCTCCTTATATCTCAATCACGGGGACATGTGTTATTCTAGTCTTGTTATCGGCTAAAACCTATCGTAAGAACTTTACGATACTTAAGTTGAGCTGCTGAATTAACAGTACGTCGTGAATACTTTTAGAGTTCTTATGATTACGCTCGCGTGTCCAGACCGCCGTACTCGGCTCGTTGCGTCCAAATAATTGTCAACGGGGTCAATCGTTAATTCGTTTTTGCTTTATTACTTGCTATCTTGCACGTAGAAAATAAATACAGATACGTCCTTGAGTGAATTGTGACCTGCAGACTCGATATTCGATTGTTAGGAAACTAGCGAGCATTAGAACCGCCGCATTTCTTTTTCACGTTCGTTCGTTTTCCATCTTTTCGTTAGAGTGCAGTGTAATTAGGCGATCGTTCTTCATTTTCGTTAAGTTATCCTTTCCTCTCGTCGAGAAAAAAACGAGGATTTGGCCGTCAGAATCGTCGTAGAGTTCGCGATTGAACGCGAGACAAACGTGTCAGTTGCGTTTGTAGTTTGCGTCAGTAATTAGTACAATGATGTGTTAATCTTAAAACTATACACGAAAAGACACCGATAAAATACAGTTAAGAGCATAACGTTGCATTTAACGTTTAAGCAGTTCTCCCCTTCAATTTTTATCGTCGGATCAGAGATCCTGGGGCAGTAACAGGATCAGAGATCCGATAACAACGGGCACTCCGGAACATTAATATTATTTAGATTTACGGCAACATTTTTTATCCTTTTCTTTTTTTCTTCATCATTAATTATCGCGACTCGTTCAAACGGGGATCAAGGAGCGCGACACCGCCATAAAATCGTCATAATCGCCATCGGCATGTTGATTAATTATTTCGAGGCGATTACGGATGACGAGCTATAACATGAAATAGTTAAACACTTAAAATATATCAGGTCACGATAAATTTGTCAATAATTAATATCGAACGCTCGTAAGACACTGCGTAAGACACGCTAACTCTAGGCGGTAAATCTAATTAAGTAAGTAAGTAAGACGAAGACGTGCACTTAAATTATGTAACGCGCCGCGCATTGGGATGCAGATTGTATCTCGGCGAGGGGGGGGGGGGAGTGTAAATAAATTATTTACTATTGATATAAACGCGCGATCGCGACATCGCGTTAATCGCGCAAATTCGGCTTGATTGAAGAAGAATTTAAGTTTTCGTGAATTCAGATTGCCGTTCTGTAACGTATATATACCGGGATGTCGGAACGTAAAGTTTCGCGACGAATATGATTCGCGGGAAAAGCGCGTATCCGGGAAAAGCGCGACCATGGAGAGCGGTCAAAGGGCTCAAGTTTGGCTAGCACCCCACGAGCACGCGTTTACACGCGATACGAAATGAGGGATAACGAGTTCCCAATCCGCGCACTCGAAACTTTTTTACTCGCTACTTTTTTTTTTTAACTCGGCAACGCGTCGCCGTTGAAACGTTTTACTCAACACAGAGAGAGAGAGATCACGATCTACGTATCATCGCTACTTGTCACGCGACACATCTCTTTTCTAAGTCTCCAATCTACGTTAATCTACATTAATCTACGGACAACATTGGAGACTGCACTCTAATTTAAAACAATAACGCCCGACCTCCTTCTTAACTTTTATATAATAATTTTTGCGTTATTTTTTTTTTTCTTTCTTTCTTTCTTTCTTTTATTTCAACTCGCGCGTACCAAGGATAGATACAGCGGAGATTAAGTAGCTCTAGAAATCGGAAAAGACAAAAAGAGCTCTAAGTCCAAGATCCAGGTGAATCCCGTCGTGGATCCCGATGATCTCGAACAAGCGAATCGGATCGTTAGGCCATACGTGTAATATAAATAGTGACTCGATGCAAAGTTAAAGACTAGACGTCGATGCTCGTTTTTCGTCCTGTGACGTAAATATTTTCGCCTTACCGATTCTATCGAACGAACTGCTCGCCATTGCACGCAACATAGTGATTTCCGATGCGATATCGTGAAAAATCTGTCCGCGGTATTCGTGTACCGTCAGTACCCGCAGGTGCACTCGTTTCATTACATCCTTCCGCGTAAGTAAAATTTTATCTCCGAAAGATCCTCGTGTTCTTCGTTTAATTAACGCAACACGATCGAGGCTTTTGTGACGCGCGACGGTCTGGACACGCGAGCTCAGTAAAGTGGATTAAAGTGAAAATCGAATCTGTGAATGTTGTAAAATGTAAAATGCAAGATTTTTAATATCAACGACAAATTACAAGTAACCTAAAGTCGCATAGGTTTTTACATAGGGTGCATCCACTCTACAGTTTTCCCTGAAACAGACAGTGAGCGCTCCGTACGAATAAGAACATTATTATTACGAGATTATTACTTGAGAGTGATGGTGAGAGAAACTTTTTGGAAGCGATCGTCGCGACAGCAAGCGTAAGCGGGTTTAGGTCGGGTCAGGTACTTACTCGTCCTCCCACGGGCATACTTCGTTAACATTATTGTCACGCTTCTCCCGAGGCACTGCTTCCGCCGCCGCCGTCGCCGCCGTCGCCGCCGTCGCCGCCGTCGTCGTCGTCGTCGGTCGGTCCTCTTGTTGGGCGTCCGGTTCCCAGACAGGCACGACCTGCGACTCCTCGGGCAGCTCCTCTGTCGTCGCCGGTTCCTCGGCCACCGGTGACACATCCGCCCCGGTATCGGCCCGCGAGTCCTCGCCTTTCGTTTTCTCCTCGGCGGCGATCTCCCCCGCGTCTTTCGCCGTACAGCTCTCGTTTGCCTCCTCGTCGACGTTCTCCATCGTGGAGTTGTCGCTCAGTAGATCGCCCACGATCGCGCTGATGCTGATCAAGGGTGCTTTCGCGGTCGTCCTGAGAAACGGGATGTTTTGTTTTTCGACCGTAGATATTTTCGATACCGTTCGCTATCTCACTTGAGACTCCAACTTACTTGGGACTCGGTTGACTCTCCTTGACGACGACGGGTTCCGCGACGATCTCCTCTTCGGGCACGATTTTCTCTAGAGACGATCTCTCCTCTACCTTTTCGACTACCACATGGGAGTACTCGAATGACTGCTGAGGCGACGGATAGTTGCAGGATGACATGGACGCGCGACCTATGTCGGATAGCCTGATACGACCGCTCGCTGAGCAAGTAGAATAATTTCGCGTTATCGGGGCGGGGCCTGTCGATGTACCTGTGCCTTCGAGAGACAGAAAGGGAATGATACTTGGAGATAGACCGTACTTTTCGACCGTCCTTTTCGTGCTATTATTATTTCGACTATACTGACCTATGCTAGCGCTGTGCTGTAAATTACACTTCCGCAACCGTTCGGAGACGACGTCCGTGATAGCGAGGCTGACGTCCGACGACGAGCTGCACGAATCCAGTTGCGCTGAATTTTTTCGGGAGACGGACGCGGCCTCGGCGAGATGTGCGATCATCGCGTGGCCACCGCCGCCACCACCGCTATCCCACACACGTCGGGTTTGATCAGCTGATGCTGTCCCTCCAGAGGATACGACATCCGACGTTCCTCCGTGTTCCGTGCTCGGACCCGGCACAGCTTCCCATGGGCATACATCGTCCATAGGGCGAACTGTTGCTTCCGTCGCGCCAGCATCCCTGACAACAGGAACTTTATTATATTTAGTTTTCATCGTTTGCTTTTGGCAAAGATACCACGCGCTTCGTGTGCGTGTTTCGTATGTTTCTGCGTATGTATGTATGTACGTGTGTCCATGTCTCTTTCCAATGTCAGTCGTTACATGCATGCGGTAACTCCATTCCACGATTAGGGGGGGGGGAGGATGTAGGTCTTTGTACATGTAGATGTTGCGAGGGTGTTTCGGAATTAGCTTACTCGAAAAGTGTCAGTATGAAGTTGGCGCTTCCAAATTTATTGCGAATTTTTAATAAATTAATCGCATCTGATTGCCTTACTCATATTTGTGTTCATAAATAATTTTTTGTCTTCCCAACAACAAAGAATTAAACAAAAAATTAGAAATTTCATCATGACATCTCTAAATGTTTGTTTTTTTTTTAATTATATTTGGAATTCGATAATTCACAATTTGTTCATATTTGCCTATAAACAATCATTTTTTGCCCACAGCGAGAAAGAATTAACGAAGTAAACAAATAAAAAATTAAAGCAAATTTTATCACATGTACTCATATGTGCATTTTTCTTTAAATTATATAAAAAATTTGATTGTCAATTTGTTTATAATTTTTTTACCTTAGATATTTTTCTCAAACATATTTTTGCAATATATAATACTTTGAAATATTGAATAATCTCAATCTTTTCAATTATTTGTTTATATTTATTTATATTTGTTGGATAGACAAAAAAATGATTATTTATAGACAAACGTGGATAAATTGCAAACAATCGAATTCCATACGTAATTTAGAAAAAAACATTTAGCTTATAATAAAATTTGTTTATAATCTTTTTTTACTAAAAGGATAAAAAGTGATTATTTATAGATGATGTGGAGAAATTGTGGACAATCAAATGCAATACTAATTTTGTAAAATTCATTTGGGGTGCTAACTTCACAGACCTAAAAGCTATAGCGGAATAGAAATGGATAATTCCGAAGCACCCCCCAGTGGGGATCTGGATGATTTTTATTTTGTTATGTCGTTTTATTTCTTAGAGTCCTTGTCGCGTATTCGAGTGAACGCAGGGTTTTAAGATTGGAAGAACACTCTTACGAAACATTAGAAAATGTAAATTATAAAAGAAAATTTTATAATGTGAAAAGAAGTCGGTACATATTTTTCTTGCTGTGCAAATAATGTGCTCGACAAGTATCGGTATATGTGTTACATAAAATATTACAGAGATATATATATATATATATA